CCCCACCACCTTTTTGTGAATAATCATATCCACTCATTGTATGAGCTTTCCCTTTGGCCTCTATCAGACAAGGTTCATTGTCATTTTAGGTTAAACATTTCTATATAGTGAATACTCACCCATCATATTCGTGAACGCCAAGGTACCGTGAGAGAGTCTTCAATTTTAGAATAGGCCCCTCCCACATCAGTCTATGACGCCCCTATCATCTTATGAAACATTCCAACAGATCCAGCAACAAATGGATAACCCAATTTTATGGTGCGTTTCCTCATTACTTGAATGACCCATCTTCATGCTAATGATGGAAGGCCTTTAGAGAATTCATCATATGAATCTTCCTATCACATGCATTCATATTTAATGCGTTTCCTCATTACTTAGATCTACGAGAGATTGTTGGTAGAGGAGACATCCAGATTCAGAAAGTACTATCAGTGGAGAATGTGGTAGACCCATTGACTAAACTAATGACACAGAAAGTGTTTGAGAAACACATGGACAGTATGGGATTTAGGCTTGTATCCGATTGGACCTAAGTGCAAATGGGAGTTGTTAAATAGTGTATGCCTTTAACTCCAATCAGATTGATGTACTAATGCATTTATTGTAAATGATTAAAAGTACATAATTGTTTCATGTTATAATTGGTGTGTTTCTATGTAATTACCCTTAAATTGGACACTTATGAGACTCATGTTAGTTTAGAACGTTCTCAGTCGTTGGATAGACTTGAGGAATTTTATCCTGCCAAGGCTGACACTGATGTGCTGCCAAGAAGATTGGGGTAGTTTGCCTCAGCTGCCAAGGTTGGACCCGAAACACATGTAGTGTGTGTTTGTTTGAAATACTGAATCCATATCAATTTTCAGTTATGCCCTAGACCTTGGAGACTGATGGGCAAAACTGAAAATTTACACCTGACCCCTATACTCGATTATGGTACTGCACTGGGTGTCAGATTGGGTTGTCTTTGATATGCTAATCAATGAGATCATTTAAGGGTCAAAACCTGGGTATGTTGGGGTAGTGTAAGAATCCACTCGAGTGGGTGATCAAAGTGACAGGATCAACTCCTTTGTCAGACAAAGTGAATGATCGAGACTGCACTCTCTCTGATGGAAACCAAAACTGCCGGCAATCGATTTCAATCGTGTTTTAGATTTATTTTGTAAAATATATTTATGTGATAATATATATTATGTTTTAAGGAAGATGTTTGCAAAAGGTTTTAATTCCCGAGACCCATCCAAGTAGAGAGTGCAACACCACACCTTGCAGTCAGGGGAGAGGTCCTTCCTTGTTGGGCAGTGTTTGATTATTATGGTTTGAGAGGTTAAGTGTATGAGACCATTTAGGGCTATTTACCTGATGGGCTATATCCTACTTAAATCCATTATCCTTGGGCCTTCATAGGATGACTGGACTCAATGATCATTTAATGTAAATCATGGGCCCATTAAGAGCCTATACGGATAGACTCAGGGACCCACTATATTTGATAGTGAATTTGGCCATGCCTTTTTAGAGTGGTTGAGTCAAACCCATATGATCTTACGTAGGGTCATTGTTGGGGTCCCACACCATACAAAGTGAACCAAATGGGCCAGCAACTACCTAAGGACGTGAGCCACTTGCTTAATGGGCGTAAAGCCCAAGATTAATTGGATAAATCAAGTGGTCACAGGACAGTTTAAGCAGTCGCGTGACTTGGGTGCATATGGGTTTGGATAAGGGTATGGATCAGCCATTAGGATAAGAGGATAAGTCTTGTCCACTTTAAGAGTCCAAATCTAAATAAAGATTTGGATTAGGAATCTCCTAATTCGATTAGGAGTGGTGATCCTTAAGGCTAAGAAAAGAAGAAATCGAAATCTGCTCCAAATAACTTTGCTCTTACCGTCTCAAAAACCCTAGTTCATTCTCCACCTTGCGGCTGATCTTGATTAGTCTAGATTTTTTATTTTTGCAAGAAAACACCAGAATAATTTCCTACTCACCTCCCTTGTTCGTCCCAAGGTGTTGGATCACAAATTTTCCGAAAACTGTGTTGCTGAACCAGCTTCAATTCAAGCTGCGTCATCTTCAGTGGAAGCTGGTTTTGGTACTCTCTTTGGGTGTGAACTACCACTTTGGTAGCTACATTTATAGAATCTGTATTAGGTATACTTCACCATTTCTGTTGGTTTCAAATTTGGTCCGGTTTCGGTGCAAGAACGATCCTAGAAAAAACAAATTTTCTACAACTAGGAATACGATTCCCAAAAGGGTGAAAGAAAATTTTTGAAATTTCGCCCAACCATCTAGCATGTTTCGGCCATCCATATGATGGATTTCCCCTTCCTTCACTCGAAAGTGAGTTCGGTCGGGCTGAACTCAGATTTTTTGGGTGGACGTCGAAAGGTGAAGGCCTTCTTATGGGAACCTCGCCTCTCTTAGGCCGAGGACCCCTCCTCGACATAGGAGGCACTGCGGTCTCCCCCCTCGGACTCACTACCAAACATGAAGAAAAAGACAAGAGGAGGAAGAACTTACCGAAAATTTCTAACGATGACTGACTCCGCAAGATGACACATACCAAACCGACACAACCGAGCTCTCCGTCACTCAGCTCTTGCTTAAAGACAAAGGAATGGACCCCCCAAGGGCAACTATTTATAGCTGAAGGGCCCGAGTCCTCAATGGCTGTGATCAACCTCATTTGACAATTCAAATCGACGCAGCATTTCAGTTTTTGAGAACCCAAACCAAATCTAATAAATTGCTGGCGTTCATAGAAGCCAAATGAGGCATCACATCCACACGTATACGCACGTGACCCTCCGGAAGCTTCCACTCAAGAGACACTTTTTGAACCACGGTTCGCTTGACCACGGCTCCGACCTGAAGAAAGCAAGTGACCAGAAGCCCTTGTCATTGACCTACTCCCTTCGCCCGATCTCTTCCACCTCGGGCTCAGGAGTGGGGGGCAATTGATGATGGGCGAAACCGACACAACGGCCACCTGGCGCCATGTCACCTCAAATACCACATAACTTGCATGAGCGACCTCAGAAAGCATCTGCCATTAGGATGAGTTCGTGTATCCTCAAGTGACCTCAGTAGATCGTCCATAATGGTCCAATCAAAGCCGCCCAAGACATCAGTTCCACTAGGCAACCCAGGCACAAATTGACATTTTGGTAGAATGACCCCGACCTGCCACGTCAGCATGGGGGACGTGTTCCCATGTAGTTAACATCTTCGAGATCTTTGGGAACATGTCAAGCAACCGACGGAAACGGCAAGTGACTCAACCGGAGAACGCTCCCATGAACCCCTAAGAATCCCGTACACCAAGATCCATTACTTCTGAGAATCTCAAGAGCACCTTAATCATCCCCCAACTGGCCAACTCTATAAAAGGGGGTGCCTTCACTTTCATGGGGTACGCTCTCTAATAAGGTATTCTAGCTCTTCTTGCTCTCTCTGCTCAAAACTATTCTTCAACTCGTCCAGATTGGCACTAACTTTACCGCCAGAGCCTTCTTACCTAGGCTAACAATACAGGCTCTTTGACATCTTCTCTTTTGCAGGGTTCAGGCTACTCACTACTCTCACTCGACGAGCACCATCACCACTCTTACGGTGGACTCCAATATGAAGGTGAGATGTGCAGTGCCAGGTTGTTTGAATGTGTTTTTATTGGGAGGATATCCTAACTCGTTTTGTTGGCAGAAGATCTTGATGGAGGGTGATTTGACCCGATCCCTTGAGACGATGACACGTGGACATGACTCAGCACGAACAACAGCTCAGCACCACAGCCTGACCGCGGCTGAGTAACGAGCCCGCAGGATAGCTCGCTACGTCATAGCTCGCTATAGGGGGAGCTCGCTACAACGCGAGCTCAAGGTCCCCCGAGCTACTAAAAGGGAATACTCCAAGACTATCCCAACTCGCGAGCTAGGGTAACCAGCTCGCTCCAACACTTAGGCAGAAAAACTGCCCCAAAGACAATCTTGAGAAGGGTCACCTCGAAGTACCCCTAGGATCTCGCTACAAAGTAGCTTGCGACAAGATAGCTCGCTACAAGGTAGCTCGCGACTAAGGGACGCGATGCTTTCAGGAAGCTTCTATCTGACAAGATTGTACCCGTCAGACTGCGCCATGTCTCTTGGCTGACGGTGCAGTCCTTGCCAATTCAACAGACTGCACCCACATCTCTCGACAGATGGTGGCGTGCCTGTCCTCCCGGGACGTGTCACTCACCCGATTGGGTAGTACCTTGCAACGGTTACCTGCTCAGCCCTAGCAGATAACGGCTGCGGTAGAAGCCTAGTGGCGGTTACGCTCGATTTGACAAGAACGCCTATATAAGAGCCCCTTAGTCAAAGGGGACCGGATCTGATTTTGGATCTTGAATCATCTTACCTTACTCAAGCTTGCTTTCGAGCTAATCTGGAGCACTTGGTGATCTAGCACGACCTACACTCTTAGCCTCTTCACACTCTTTACTATTTTCCCTAGCGTTATAACTTAAGCATCGGAGTATTCCCATCGGACAAATCCCCCGGGAATTCTTCACCGTCTTCTTCTCAGATGCCATCCCTTACCAACTAGGAACCAGTAAACAACCAGTTAAGAGTGCCCGGATTGCTTAGCATCAGATCTCAAATCGCGGAACTTAACCGGGCAGAGCGAGCTTACCCAAAGTTCTTCATTTGCAGCCACATGCTAAGAGTCAAATGGGATCAATCACATGAATGGTTTGAACTGTTTGCACATGCACAACAGTTGTTCTCCACTTGTACTTAGACTAATTTATTAGAGAAGGAATTGAAAAACTGAAAAAGTGCTTCCCATTAATAGAAAAAAAGAGTAAAAAGCATAACCCTTTCCTAAGAAAGCTACTCCAACTGGCTTCCATCCCACCCGTTCGATCTTCACGAAATCTAATAAAAAACATATGGGGCCCACCTTTAAAGTTCCCAACTCCACAGCACGTCTGCTACCACTTTTGCACCGTCGTCCACATGAAAAGGTTAACCGTGAACGTGTTTCTGTCTCGTGCATCCATCCATCCTTCGGCTGCTGCCATTTTCGTCCTCCGAGGTTGAGCGGCCTTCAGACTCAAGGCTCAAGTTCAAGTTCTCTGGTCAATCATCCCACTTGCTGCCGGCCATTAAAACACACACTCTCTCTCTCTGTCTTTCTCTGTAATTGATTCGCGAGAGAGACAAAGATGCATTACAAGAACTTGGGTCGATCTGGTCTGAAGGTGAGCCAGCTCTCCTACGGAGCATGGGTGAGCTTTGGTAACCAACTTGATGTCAAGGAGGCCAAGTCGCTCCTTCAATGCTGTCGAGACCATGGCGTCAACTTCTTCGACAACGCCGAGGTCTACGCCAATGGCCGTGCCGAGGAGATCATGGGCCAGGCCATCCGAGAGTTGGGGTGGAAGCGGTCGGATATCGTGGTGTCTACCAAGATCTTCTGGGGCGGCCCTGGTCCTAACGATAAGGGCTTGTCTCGTAAGCACATCGTGGAGGGAACTAAGGCCTCTCTCAAGCGTCTTGACATGGATTACGTTGATGTCATCTATTGTCACCGCCCGGATGCTTCTACTCCCATTGAGGAGACTGTGAGGGCTATGAATTTTGTGATCGATCATGGGTGGGCGTTCTACTGGGGGACCAGTGAATGGTCGGCTCAGCAGATCACCGAGGCTTGGGCTGTGGCCGAAAGGTTGGATCTCGTTGGCCCTATCGTCGAGCAGCCGGAGTACAATTTGTTGTCTCGGCACAAGGTGATGATACTGGCCCACGACTTTCTTCTTTTTTCTTCATTTCTTTTTCAAGTTCTTGATTCTCTGTTCTGATTACCCAATATGAGGGAGAAGTGATTTGAAGGCTCATTGTTTAGTAATGAATATGACCCTTTGTACTTTGAGGGTGGGAATAGTGAAATAGGGTTTCTGTAACCGATTTGGGATAAGACTTCGGACGAGTTTGTCAGCCTCGACCCTAAGATCTAGCTTCTCTAATTGGCACGAACTATGACTTGCACTTTTACCGCAAAAAAGTGATTCATAACTCAACATTATACCAACTATATGGGGTCGTCTACATAAATCTTGCTCCACCATTAATTATGTTCCATTCAGTACCATGTCCCTTATTAAACTATACCATCAGTGTAAGGTCTTCAAATCGTCTCTCACCATTTAAGTCTATGCCCTTTTTGGCCGGCCTGCCCCCAACTCTTCTAAGACCCTTCAACTTGCAATAGATCACTTTTCTCATTTGGTGCCGTTTGGATGGTCTTATGCACATGCCACGCAAATTTTTGTTGTTCAGTAGAATTCTATCAGCCATCAACAAACAACATACACCATATAACCTCTTTCTAAGTGTACCTAATTAATTCGTTTGTGCTTACTGTGAAGAAATACATTCAAGGAATAATAGGTAATGGGTAATAAAAGTTGGGAAAATAATAGATAAATTGTTTGGATAACTGAAATGAACTAGTTGGTGTTCTAAAAGCTAGACTAGAACTAATGGATGAAGTTATATCCTCTATCGGATCTGAAAAATTGGGTCTGATTTTCGTTCTGTGTTAATTCGGATCAGACTATGTTGGCGAATTAGTTAGTCATGTTGCTACAGCTAAACTGGACTTAAATTTGTTCTACTTTTTCTTGGTTGGCTTGTTCTTATTCTTACATTTTACTGATAAACATGACTTGTTGGATTCTTAAAGTCCTGAATTTCTTTTTCATTTCATGGGAAAACCAAAAAAAACTTTGCTTGATAAACATCTTTTGTTACACATTAGATTTGACTTCAGGGTTGGTATATTGATTCAGGTTGAATCTGAGTATCTACCTCTTTACAGCAACTACGGTCTAGGTCTTACCACATGGAGCCCACTTGCTTCAGGAGTGCTCACTGGAAAATACAACAAAGGAGTTATACCACCTGATAGTCGGTTTGCCTTAGAGAACTATAAGGTAAAATGTTCAATTCTAGATCTACAAAATGTTGATTCTTGATTTCTAGGTTTCCTACAAACAAGTGTTGTAAGGGCTTTTTTGTAGTGACAACTCTATACTCGTTTCCTTTTCTATTTTGAAGGCTGGGGATGCTATAGTACATTTTATATACGTGTGTACATATCGTATACAGATGTACTTCCTATAATATATTCTATTTCTTCTGAACAATATAGTTAATCATCAGTGTTGAATTTCAACTTTGCTCGTGGCCTGTTTCTCAACCTTGCAATCAATCTTATTTTCTTTCACTGTTTTGAGTCACTATCCTCGGTGGTTGTATTGAATTCAGCTATTTGTTTTTTTTTTTTTGGGTGCTCCTGAATCCTGATTGATCTTTTATGTGTCTTGCTTGTTGCTGAAATTTCTATTTTTGTTATTTGAGTAGGTGTGCCTTGTGCCAAATCAATGAATATTTTTATGCATGTACTTGGATAATAGGAAGTTGGTTTCTCAACTTGTCAAAATATGCTTTCTTTCTTGTTTCCTAATTGCTTATTTTCTTAGGTTACCTATTCTCTTAGCACCTCCACCAATTAGCCTAGATGATTTGGCTCATGGGGAAAATTGCCTTATAGAGCTTATGCAGAAACTGAAAAGTATACGGTAGTTTACCTCATCATCATCATCTTCATCTGATCCTTGTCACAACTATATGGGATTGGCTACATGAATCAAGTTCCACCATTCTGTTCTTTTCAGTGCCATATCCATTATTAAACTGTGGTCCTTAAAAATAATTTCTCACTACTTCAACCCATGACTTTTTTGGTCTCTCTCTAGCTCTTTTAGCTCCTTCAACTTGTAAGTTGTAACAGATCACTTCTTACTGGTGCTGTAAATGGTTTTCCCTGCATGTGACCAAACCATCATGGTCTACTTTCCGTCATTTTATCACCTATCGGAACTTATCCTAGGTTCTTTTGAATAAGTTCATTACTAATCCTATCCGTTCTAGTTTTCCCACTCATTTATCTCTTTGGACATGTTTCTTGACTGCCGAACACTTTGCCCAACACTCATCTTAAGAATCTTCTATCATATAAGACACTGGATGCACCCCTCCATTTTGCCCATCCTGCTCTAATTCCATGGACCACATCTTCCTCAATCTCTCCCTTGGACATGCTTGTTTACTTGATGAATTTAATAACTGGTTCTATTTATGAAACTTTGTATTTATTTTGCTGGATGTGTAACATTTTGTTTTTGTTTTTTTTTTTGAAGTTCTATATGATCTGCTTTTGCAAATTAATCCTAGCTGGAATTCTTGGACTCTTTAGTGAATATTAATGTGTAGCAGACTAGTGTATACAGTGAACAGGATGCTTATGATCTTTGAATCTTATGATCAGTGTTTAAACTATGATTTTCTTTGTTTGTAGAACCTTGCTAACAGGTCACTGGTTGATGATGTGCTGAGAAAGGTTAATGGATTAAAACCCATTGCAGATGAGCTCCATGTGCCTTTAGCTCAACTTGCAATTGCTTGGTGTGCATCCAATCCAAATGTCTCCTCAGTTATTACTGGTGCTACAAAGGAGTCTCAAGTAAGTTTGATATATGATATCATGTTTCTGATGCTTCCACTAACAGTGCAATTCTGATGAGAGCCTGTCTTCCCCCCTTTAACTAAGAAAAGAGAAACAACTCAAGTACTTTTTGTATTTAATTTGTAGCCTAGTTGATGTGCTTGTCTGCCACCTAGACTATATCGGGTTAATGTGGTAAGATTGACTTTTATGTTCCTTATTTTTCCTCTTTTTGTTTCACCGGGGTGGGGTTGATGGATCAGTGTTGTTGGGAAGTTGAGGTTGTCTCAGTCTGTTCAGGTCCAGTAAGCTTGGAGGATCTTAAAGAGAGTTCCAATGTTAGGAGTAATCCTTGGTAGGTGACTGCTCACCATACCTAGTAAGTACTAAGACCGTTTTTTCTTCTTTTTCCTTATTTTTGTATTGGTAATGGTAACAATGCTTTAAGCAAGCACAAATTAGAGAAAGGGGTTTTTGTAGTCAAGTTAGTCTCTACGGAGGCAGGAATTTTCTACTGGTTTATATTGTTGGGGGCCCAAAGGTTAGTTAAACCTAGTTCTCTCCACTCTCTGTACATGGAGGCAAGTTTCAGTTCAAAAACCCACCTCTCTAAAATAAGTCCTCTTTTGTGAGTTATTTTAGATAAAAAAGTTGGAACTTTGCACAACTAATATCGCTTGGGGAAGCTCCAATTGAAGGTGAGATATAAGGCTGCAGTCAACTAGGGGACCAAACATATGGACTATCCAGAGGTTCCTCCATCTGTTGCATGGACTGGATTGTCTTTCCACCACATGACAGAAATAGGGTGGGACACTTAGAAAAAGGAGTCTAGATGACTAAATTATTTACCTTATTCCACACATGCACAAATGCGGAACAAAATGAATAATCAAAGGACAAAGGAAGAGATGAGGAGAGATAGAGTTCCACTACTGTCGAGACAGTGGAAAGGATTGTTTCATCAGAAGGGAAAATTACAACCTTATCCATGTTATTTAAAAGGGAGCAATCAAATGAGAAGGGAAACTTGCAGAAGCGACAAATTCAGACAACAATCTGTTTCATATGGGTATGGATCATCTTTACAAGGACTCTGTCCAGGAAAGTGAAAGTGAGGGCGGTTCATGAGAGACAAAAGATACTTGTAGTGATCTGGAAAGCGGTAGAAGTGTTTCTATAAATATTAGTGGAAGCGATGATTCGAATTTTGGTTTGGAGATTTACCTAGAGACTTACTCTGAAGTATTAGTTGGAAAGTTGGGCAAGGATTTGGGTAGGAAGCACGGAACAGTCTGTAACTAACAAAGATGAAGTTGCTGAAGAGTCTAGAAAATGAGACAATTTTGGTGATTTCTAAAAGACCAAGGGAACAAATAACTGTTTAGTTCATGCAACTAAAATATTTTTCTCATTTGAAAGATGGTCTTATTGGAGCAGGTCCTTGTAATAAATAATTAAGTATAAGAGAATGTATAATAGGAAGGGGGTGAAAGTCAAAACTAGAAAACAAAAGTATACTGGAAGGAGTGACTCATATGATCAGGTGCAAAAACCGTCGGGTAAGGTGGTGATGGGTCTGAATTCCGATATCCAAGAGGTTTAGTCCAAAATGATAGGTATAGAATCATTGGGGAGATATTGTTAGGTTGAAAGAGAGGGCTATGTGTTGCAAGAGGAAGGTGATAATGAGACTCTTGACCAAGTGAGAAAGGTGGAGAAAAAAGTTTGACTTGGAAAAGATTAATGGTAAGGAAATTCAAGTAGGGGAAACTCTAAGGGTCTTTTTCTTCGGTGGGGAGGAGTTTTCAAGAAAAGTATTTATTGTAGAAGGAGAAGAGAAAAGGTATTGTTGATGACAAAATTGGTTTAAAGGTTGGGGTGGCTTTGGAAAAGGAACGACTTTAAGTTGGTTGGTTGATGGGGTTCAGATTGTGGTAGGGGTGCAACTTGGGTTGGCCCGAGTTAACATTTTACACTGATTTGGACTCAAGCCTTTGGGATGGGCCCATTCAAATTTTAACAAAAGCCCAACCCTAGAGTTTCACACCTAGGATGTGGGGGTATGATTTGGGCTTTTAGTTTGGATCTTGGGGGTTTCATTGGATGTGTTTTTTTCCTTGGGATAATTATTGGCTATGGGCAGGTTGGTTGGAGATATTAATGAGGTTTTTTGGTTTTGATTGTTTTACATACACTTCCTTGCGGGTGATTTCTACCTTTTTTTGTATCTTTTTTCTTTTTAATTGTAATAAATTTTCAATTTGCTATGAAGATTGAATTTGATTTGTTAATCCTCTTGCTTAACCCCCCCTTTTACACACATGAAATCAAGGTTTAAAATGTCAGTGTTGGTGGAAATGTCTGTCATCCAAATATAGGAAACACGTTGAAAATGTTGGAAATATTGTAAAAATTATAGACATGGAAACATTGTAAAACATGCAAAAATATAGAATGATATTTTATAAAATGATAAAAGAAGCAAAGACACACCTTTTTAAATTATTATCTTGTTTCAAATCATTAAACAAAGCTAAGAAACTGAGGTTATAGACAAAAGAATACATTCTAAAGTTGTCCTGTAAACCTCAAGATTCAAAGCTTCACGATAGGATGAGTTAAAGCAATATTTGAACTCAGAAAATGTAAATGGTTGTAATAGATCAATCAAATAATCTATTACACAAACAAAAACTATTATTTAACTTTATGTTTCATGTTTGAAATGAATATTGAGCTAGCTCAAAGTAGTAACCATGTAAGTTAGGCGGGCAATGTCATTGTTGCTCCACATATCTACAATATTCTCAGCAACATAGTGTTAGTAGTGTTCACTGGTGTATATTGCGATTCCAGTAAAATTTCATGTTGCTACCCATGGAAGTGGAGATAGAAATATGTTGTTGAAGCTATCTCTTGTACTCCACATGGTGTTGGTAGTGTTCATTGGGGAATGTCTGATTCTGGTAAAATTTCGTGTCGCTACCCATGGATATGGAAATATTAGGGAAATTAGGGACGTTTTAAACCATCTTTTAACTAATTAGTACTTACATTACTCTGGCAGTCTAGCCTGCACCACTGGATGAAGTCCTAGACCAGTTGGTAAGTTGGTCTCAAAGGACTTCTTAAAGTTGAATTTCTAGCACCTGTGTCTCACCCATTAGAAATTTATAATTCAGCCCATAGATGCTTTTGACAACCAAGTGCCAGTGTGCCACAATGCCTCTTGTCTCCCTAGAGAATATCTATAGCCATTTCCCAATAAAACCAAGTTCTTCTGTTGAATCCTCCCAATTCTGTGAACTAATAAATTACTAAGCAGACTTATCCAGTAGGAGAAACTCCATTGGTCTTAAAATATTAAATTTAGGATTAAGGACAGTTGTTTTAACCATTTTTAGTTTGAGATAAGTTCATAAAATGTCTAAGTACAAATTTAAAATACCCAAACATTTATTTATACAAAAAGAATGTGAAACAAATTAAATTGACACTGGGCCATATCATCCTTAGCTAGGACCTAGGAGGAATTTGTCCAGACCAGGATTATTCTTTTACAGAAAATATTGAATATCACTGTTCTGGCAGAGTAATAAACATGAAACCTTCAAATTACATAAAATTATCTTCAGATAAAACAAAGAGGATATGCTGGGCTGAGCATATTCCTCTTTTTTTTGTTTGTTTTTTCCCCTTTTTTCCTTCTATGATCTGCATATCCTTTTTAAATTGTTCTTCCATGGAGCTTGCTAATTCTATCCCTTGGGAGCTTGGCTCTTGGTCTCATACGAAGTCAATGACATAAACTTCATTGTTTCCGTTTTATTAAAGAAATTTACATAATTATCAAGAAGAAAGAAATTAATAGTAGGTCAAGACCCAAAAGGGGGTTTGGGATAAGTTTTCAAGCAACTATCGATGCCTCACCGACTGTTGCATTGCCCCAAGTGCAAAGATGGTAAAAACTGACTGAAACGAGTCGTGTGCTCCTCATTTTGTGTTTTCTATCTACTGAAAGACCACTTCCATCGCTATGCAGATCCAGGAGAACATGAAAGCTATTGATGTCATTCCACTGTTGACACCTGAGGTCATGGAGAAGATTGAGGCAGTCGTTCAAACCAAGCCAAAGCGTCCAGAATCATACAGGTGAAGATTTGATGTCCAGCAATTATTTGGAAAGTTGGCTACCCTACCTGTCCATGCTACAGTCAGATTCTCCTGTCGAGTCTCGAGTGTTGTCGGGAGAATTGGTTATTGGGTTATTTACCTTCATCATAATTAGTTCTCTCCATCTGTACTTTTTAAAAATTTTTTATGGGTTTTCTTCTTTTGTACTTCTCAACCATGGTTTATGACAGATGACAGACAGATTCGAAATACTGTAAGAAAATACTAGACGAAATTTGATTTTATCTAGATTTGATGCGATTGTTGGCTTTTTTTTTTTATTTGGTTGAAGTACATCTCGGGTGCTTGTAATGTTGTCATTTCGGTTACACCACAGTTGAAAAATATCTACAAGCTTTAGCCAACTAGGAGGGGAAGATTTGCAAATCCTATTCAGAAAATTCTCAGCATGATGTCACTCGCATTTCTGTCCCAACTGTATTTTTCTTGATGATTTTTTGTCCAACCGTTGTATCATGTATGCATCTTTCGGTGCAAGGTTCCAAAAATGAAAAATCTCGTCCTTTTACGCTACCAGAGAATATTGGGCCAATCACTACGGATCCCATAGAAGACAGGACCAGAACAACATAGTCAGTCGTCACTCTCATTCTAGTGGCTTATTTTGTTGTTTTCTTTTGCTCAGCTAAGGTACACGTTTCAAGTAGGTTCCAATTTGACATCAACAAGAGTTGAATCGGAATCTTCTCTTTCAATGGGTCTGCATTACTTCAAACTTAAAATTCACCGATCAAAAATAAGTTTCTAGTAATCTGGAGCTTATTGCAGACCAAGATCTGAACCTTGTCATATGTTCTAGCTCCACCCCTTATAAATTGTTTTTGTGGGATTATTAGAGGTTTTATATCCTCTAATATAATGCTTTCTGTTCTTAGGCCCCTTTTGGTTTGCGGGAATAGGGGTTTGGAATTGGAATTAGAATGGGCTATTCTGATTTCAACTGTTTGGTTGGGGGGAATTGGAATCCCATTCTCATTCCTGCTGGAATGACAATCCTCCATTCGAAGGAATGGCTATTCCCTGCCCTTCCGTTGAAAATGAAAATCCCATTCCTGTTGATTCCAATTTTCATTCTCATTCATGTTTGAACATAGATCATTCCGATTCTGAAGGATTTTGATCTAATTCTGAGTGTGAACCAAACAGATTCTTAGTGATAAAGGTTTAGCATCTGAAACCATATTTTGTGTAATTCAAAAGTTGAAGCCTTTTTAATCTTTTTTTTTTCATTTGGACCTGTTCCATTATCAGAGCTTTTTGTTTGCTACCAAACAGAATTTGCGGAATGTTTGGTTAGAGTGCAGGTGCAAATATGTTTGGTTAATGAAAGTGCAAAAGTGGTTTGGTTTTGCATTTAAAAATTTTGTATTCTTATTAAACATATTTGGTTGTTGATGGTGCGCAATCTGAGAGCTCCTAACTGAAAGGTTATCTGAAGGCTGGTTGCATAGCGGGTCTCACCCTAGCAGCTGAGATAGGCTACCCCAACCAACTTGGTGGCACATCAGTGTCAGATTTATCAAGATAGATCTCCCCAGATCGATCCATCGGCTGTGAACATTCTAAACTAACACGAGTCTCATATGTGTCTATCAATAACACGAATCAAATATGTACTTTATTCATTTACAATAAATGTCATAATGTACATCAATCTGATTGGAGCTAAGGGCATACATATCTAACATGCTGTCAGTTTCCACGAGAGTCGTTGGATTGCGCAAATCTTGACTATCGAACCCCGGGCATGGTGGTTATAAATAGGGGCCAAAGGGGCCCATTTTTCTTGCCACATATCGCGTATTTGGGTTCTTGAGGCTGCGCTTTTGTCTCCAGGTTAGTGCTAGTTGCCCTTGTATCCGAGGTCGCCCATTTTCTTCAGTTTCTTGGTGAGTTCGTCTTTCTCTTGTTTCTGTTTCCTGTTTGTCTTTTTTAAGTTAGTTTGGCATGTCGACTGCTAGTACAAATAGTTTATTTGATGCGAGTGATGAGTCCTCCGGGGCCGAGGTGGGCACCTTGGTCCAAGTTGAGGAGTTGGGACCTACCGGGGTGAATGCTTCAATTGAGGGTCCTGATTCCACTTTGGATATGGCAGACACGTCGGGGCAAAACCGCGAGGTGTTTGAACAGGGGGCATCCACCTTGCATACAACTCAGATGATAGATCATTTCGGTCCTTCTGTCATGACGGCTAAACGGCTTCAGTCGCAGGTTGCTTACTATAGGTTTCCCGAGAACCATGCATATAGTATCCCTCTAGGTAGGTACCCCTGGGATCCCGATCCCAATGAGATCGCAGTTTACGAGGAGCAACTCATAGCTAGGCTTCGACTTCTACTCCACCCCTTTATCGTAAAGGTCCTCAAATTCTTTAATGTCACCATAGACCAGCTCCACCCGAACTTCGTATGATCTATTGTTGGCATCATCTCTCTATTCTACGAGTACAGTAGACCCCTTAGCCTCGATGTAATTAGTTCGATTTGTGCCATTAAAAAGAACTCATCCCGTGTCTTTAAGGATGAGATGCAAAGCTACTACATCTCTCCTCGACCTGGGTTCAAGGTCTTGAAGGACTTCCCAAACAAGGTATGGCCTGGAAGAGACAGTACCTCATAGTTTCCCTTGTCGGGGGGTAGCCGTTCCCGACACACTGGAGGATGGCCATTACTAGCCCTGGTGTTCAGTTGAATAGTGAAGCTTTGGTGATGATCCGGTCTTGGGTTGACCTCAACTTAAAGCTAAAGGATTTTCTGTCCAAAGAGAAGCTCGTAAAGTCGGGCTGAGTCCTCTGGGAGCATGAAGAGGGGAAAGAAGAGGAAGGCCTCCAAGAAGGCCCGTCCCCAAGAAGTTGTCGTTCCACCTGCCATCGAGACCATCGTGCCCTATCATCCCCCCCTGTCATTGACCTGGTCGAAGAAGACCAAGGTAGGGCTTCTCTACCTCGCTTACCTGAGGAAGCTCCAGCGTCCGAGCCCCAGACTGCTCAGGCGGTCAACCCTTCGGGGGAAGGATCCTCCCAAGCGTCTCGGAGCATTATGAACCCGAAGCTCAGCCTCCGCAAGAGCAAGGAGGCGGTCTTCACTAAGGAGGTCGTGCAACTATCCGAGCTACCGATGGCTCAGATCGAGGCAAAAGCGGCTAACTATTGCATGGTGGTACATATCTGATTCTTGAGCGATTCTTTCTCAGTACTTATATTTTATTTTCTCCCTTTTGGTAGGTGAAATCTATGATTCACGCTCTAGTTCGACAGTCCGAAGTGCATCTGAAGAAGGCCCTCCAGGCTGAAGAGTCCTCCATGAGCATTCAATGCGAGCTAAACCAGGCCCTCGGTCAAATCCACAAGTTGGAGAAAGACGCGCGGGCTCAGAAGGAACCGATCGGGCTGCTGATGGAGGAGAAGAAGAATCTCAAGGAGGAGAAGGAAGATCTCAAGAAGGAGGAGAATCTTCAGGTTATTTTGCAAGAGCGCAAGTCTATCTTTGATGATGTGATCAAGGATGCCCTAGTTAAGGCTGTCGAGGACTACAAGAGTTCGGAGGAACAATGTGAGCTGCTGATTGAGACTGGCACGACCGCTTACCGGAAAGGCTTCAAACTTAGTAGGTGGTTGATGTGGCGTAAGTTCCCCGAGCTCGACCTCAAGGCCATTACCACGATCGAAGTCGCTAAGGAGATGGCTGATGAAGCTACGAAGGACCCGGGCTCCAATGAGAGGAGTGACAACGACCTCCACGAAGAGACAGCGGGGGAGGGAGCCAAAGATGTCGTTGCCGAGGATGGTATGGGGACTGACCAGCCTATTGATGTCACTGGTGGGGACGAAGAGCCTGAAATTGATTGACCTTGCTTGCCTCTTTTCTTGGACCTCTCGTACATATATGACGTCTCGAGCCTCCGAGCTTGGGTAGATAGCTATAGCTCTTTTTCTTCTCTCTCTCTCTCTCTCTCTCTCTCTCTCTCTCTTTTTAATGTACTTCAAACCCTTTTGAATGAATACGATGTGGTTATCGTATCAAAAATCTTGATTGTGCTAATTTTTTCTAAGTGTGGATTACTTCGAAGTGTCGAGCTGGCGAGCTAGACATGAGTAGGAATAAACCGATCTCAATGTACGCCGAAGTCAGCAAACACTGTAGGGTATATACCCGACCTGCCTGTGCAATAGCCACTTTTTTGTTTGCCCATGCTGAAGGGACTAGGTCTTTAGTTGCCTATGCCGAAGCAACTAGGTCTTAGGTTGCCCTTGCCGAACAGGCGTCTGGGACTTATCTGCCCATGCCGAAGAGGCAACTAGGACTTGTATTGTGCTGAGATCTTTTGTCAGATCGACATCATAGCCCTTAGGCTCTGAGAGTGACTCGTAGTCCTCTCTCCAGTTAGGCACCCTTCGACCAGCTCGATGGTTTTGTGGACTTAGCGAATTTTTGGAAATATTGGAATCGTGAACTCATAGGTAATACCTCCTCAGGTTGTCAATGTTCCAGGCTCAAGGTACTTGTCTCTCTTCCATAGTCTCGAGCTTGTATGTGCCCTCTCTGAACACTCGTCTCACCCTATACGGACCCTCCCAGTTCGGTCCAATTTTACCTATGTCGGTCTCAGGTACCATCACCTTTCGGAGCACTAGGCCGCCAACTCAAAACTGTTGTCTCTTGACCTGGGCATTATAGTATCAAGCTATCCACTGTTGGTATGCCACAATCCGGATGTAAGCCAGGTCGCATGCTTCTTCGATTAGGTCTAAGTTAGTTAGGAGTTTGTCATTATTTGCCTCCACGTACGCTTCGAGCATAATGTCGGTACCTCGATCTCGGTGGGAATCGTGGCCTCTGTTCCATACGTAAGGTTGAAGGGCGTTTCACCTGTTGTAATCTTGATGGTCGTCCTATAGGCCCAAAGGACACTGGGCAGCTCACGCTTAGCAAGATTTCAGTCCATAGAGGATAGCCTTGTTCGTCACTTTGGCCTATCCATTCGCCTGTGGGCATGCCACCAAGGTGAAATTCTATTGAATCCCCATCTCAGTACACCAACTCTGTAACTTGATGTCTTCGAATGGCTTCCTGTTGTTCGAAATCGACACCTTGGGAAGTTTGAATTAGTACACTATGTTTTTCCAAAAGAAATTCTTCACGTTTCGGGCCGTAATTGTTACCAGCGGCTCAGCCACCAACCACTTTGTGAAGTAATCAACCACCACGACCAAGATTCTTCTCTGCCTGGTTGCTGACGGGTTAGTCAGGTACTTTAGATC